ATCCATTGCCTTTGTGACCTGATCATAAAAGGCAATCAGGTTGGTCTGACATGACCTGCCCCTAATGAAACCGTGCTGGTTGCCCCTGAGCATCATCCCTGAAGCAGGCCCATCACAGATGTGCTCCTTGAGGATCTTCTCAAAGAGTTTCCCAAGGATAGAGGTAAGACTGACAGACCTATAGTTGCCCGGGTCCTCTCTCTTCCCTTTTTTGAAAATGGGGACCACGTTAGCTATCTTCCAGTCATCTGGCACCTGGCCCAAGCACCACGAGCGTTCGTTCTGCATTATAAGACTATTTTAATTGCTTATAACTTTGCTGAACTTGAACTGTTTGCACTAAAAAATTCTATGTTGTTTGCTGCAGGCTGATTTTTCTTAAAGAATGTTTCAGGCCAAAACAATTCAGTTGTTTCTGAGAGCAAGGCTGTGGGGGATGAGGGGGGAGGAAGGGAGGGCAGGGATGGACATGGATCTGTTTTTTCACCTTTTAAAAAAGAAACAGGACACTATTCAAAAAGCTTTTGCACTCCCAGACTTTGGAGTAGGGACTTTGATCTGCTGGGGAGCAGGGGGGGCAGCACAGCGGCTTTTGTGTCATGGATGTGCCTTTTGCTCTGCCTGTGAAATTCTGACCACATTCAGGCAAATTATAAATATCTGAAAAAACAGCAGCTTTCTTAGTCTGGGCAGAGATCTGATAAAACTCAACAGCTAAAATCCTCAAAGATCAAGTCCTCACTGAACATGCTTGGGCATTTTACCACTCCTAGCACTGACCAGACTGCCCATGTACCATCCTCACAGAACAAATAAGATGTTTTACTTACTTGCATGGCCAGGCAGATAGTGTTCAGCAGGATCAGAATGAACATCAGGTACTCAAAATAGGTGGAGTTCACCACATACCACACTTTGTACTGGTATTGGTTCTTAGGGATGTACCTCCTCAGGGGACGAGCCTTCAGGGCATATTCTACACACTGACGCTGTTAAAGAGACAAGGCAGATTATACATTTATGACGAGTAACAAATAGCATTTGGTGATTTGTTTGGTGAGGGTTTCTTTTGGACTAAAATCTAAGCAATAAAATAAACAAATGCTACCTACTGGAGCCTTTCACTTGTTCTCCCTCTGGGCTACATATTGCTCTTAGTTGGACACAGGAAATCTTGTTGAAATGTAGGTGGCATACAAGCCTACACTAGACTTCGACCTTTTATGTGGGCCCTTAAGAAAAATTTATTTTACGTAGTTCTCAAGAGATATTGGAAGTGCCATCCTAGGGTTTTGTCCTGTTGGTAGCCCTCATGTCTTCCTTTCAGGGTATATCTCTTGTTTTATTTCATACCCTTCGCTACACTGAGCAGCTGTAAATTACCTGATTCTTGTCCAGTTCACAGTTCTTGTACTCCTGCTCTCCTTGTTCCTGGAACGTGACAATGACGAAACCAACGAAGATGTTCATCATGAAGAAGGCAATGATGATGATATAGATGATGAAGAAAATGGAGATCTCCACCCTGTGGTTATAGATGGGTCCAACATCTTCCATGTGGGAATCAATGGATCTGTACAACAGCCTGGAGGCAAAGAGAGACACTGGAGAACTTAAAACATTCCAAGAGCATAATCTCATAGCAACTTGGTGAACTATAAAAGATACTGAAATTTAACAGGGTAACTTAATTTCTTCTAATGTTATCAAAGCTGAAAAATGATTTAGTTTGTATTGCGACAAGTACAGAGTAACTTCCTAGATCTGAATCCCAAATTTTTGTAAAAGTGCAGATCCACATCTTAGTTTTATCTATTTAATTCTGCCCATCCTGCTCAATGTCGAGGTGCATCGACAGTTTAACCATTTAAAAGGTTAAAACAACAATGAGACCTTCAATTTAATATAATGCAAATAAGGAAGAGACAGTCCAATTTGTCAAGAACCTGGTGCTACTCACAAGAGTTCTGTGTGGAATAATGATCTCAGTACTTTTAATTATTTGAAACCAGGTTGAAACTATCAGGTGAGAGCACTCTGGAGCCCAACTAGCAGATGGGGGGAATGCCATTAAGTCACTCGTGTTGGTGCTTCCCCTGTCACAGAGAAGTTGGTGTTGTCAGATATATCTGGTCAGCACTGCGAGGACTTCACTGCTGCAACTCGCACTAGCTTGGCAGTGATGGAAAGGCTTTTGTAAGAAAATGCACAATGCTCTTAAATACCGATAAAACACCTGACAAGGAGTTCACAGTACATATAAAGAATGGTAGGATGGGAAGCTATTACACCCTGAAAATTAGGCAGTATCAGGTATTTGATACTGGGCATCTAACTGGAACAGGCAAGATGGGAACAATAGTTTGCACTCAGTTGAAACAGTAATAGAATCAATATTATTACTCATGAATTTTATTACCCATAACAACAAACTACTCCTATTATAACTAATAATTGTTACTCAATAAGAGCAAAATATAAAGAAGCAATAGGCTCTGCTCCAAGGAGCTTATAAGCAAAGTATGTAGAATATAATAAATATATACAATATTTTATATACTGTATATAGTATAGTATGTGTACGTATTGTATATATAGCATATGTACCTATGTATTCATATTCCCAGTACAATAAACTGCACTTTATTATCTTTTTTTTAAAATATATAACTAAGAAAGCTTCACAACTCTCTGTGAAGACAACAGAAGATATTATGGGAATCATTTCTCCAATTACTGAAATACAGTCGCTTCTGGGGTGGAATTTAGCAACTAATTATCAATGCATTGCAGCAATGCACAACACTTCAGAGCTCTAGATCTTAAATTCCTTTTTAGAAAGGAATGAAGAATTTGCATTTATCCCCACCACCATACCCCTTGGCCACCTGCTCAGCTGTGCACTCACTCTGGCCAGCCCTCAAAAGTTGAAACAGTAAAGAGCGCCATCATGGCATTCAAAACGTTGTCAAAGTCAAACTTGCTGTTCTCCCAGCTCCGGGGCTGGATCATTGGCTGGGTGACCTCGCCATCTTTGTATGTAATGAAATACCCCCTATTGTTTGGAAAGCAGAAGAAAAACAAAAGAAAGTTACAGTTACAGCACTAGACCCAGGGGAGCCCATGAATGTTGCTGGCAGGGAAAGGATGAACTAACTTGCACTCTGCGGGTGTTTGCTTGGAGCTATCACTGCAGCTCTTCAGTTTGCCCTAGAGGAGAATGAGAGAAGAGTGAAACTTCCCTTCCTTACCATGTATGCAGTTAGAATGGACTTCTGTAGAAAAGGGACTGCATGTTCTTTTTGCTTAATCATCTATGTACCTCCATCAAGAGCTGAGTGACAACAGCTGTCAGGAGAGTAGTGAGAAAATAAAGAGCCTTGTAACATGGGACACCTAGCACATGTTATTTATATCGGGGGTGCTCACCCTCCGGCTCATCGGCCAAATCCAGCCCACAGAGCCATGAAATCTGGCTGGTGCCACCTCTCTCCCTGTGGCAATGGGGAGTGGTGGAAGCTCTGCATGGCTGGCTCCAGCCTCACCTGAGTCACTGCAGTGAAGGGAGATCAGGGCTGGGCTGCCTCACCTGCACTTCTGGATTGGGGCCAGGTTGCTCCACATTCTGCTCCCCACTTATGTCTGGATTAGGGCCACTCGATCCTCCACCACCTCGTGTGTCCAGATTGGGACTGTCCTCCCCTGCCCCACACATGCCCCATGCATCCAGACAAGGACCAGGCTGCTTCCCCAACCCCATGCATCTGGATTAGGGCTGCTCTGGCCCCTGCCCTCTCTTCCCCTCACACACCTGGATCAGGAATGCTCTACTGCACCACACCCTGAGGGGATGGATCAAGGTTGGGCTGCACAACTCCCTGCACTTGGATCAGGTCAATTGCCTGGATCCGGCTCATGGAGGGACCTGGCACCACCCATTCAGCCCAAAGGGCAAAAAGGTTGGGCACTGCTGATTTAGCTTGTAGTAAGCATTACTATGCTGTTTTAAAAGTTAAAACATGTTCTAAGTAGTTGCATGGTAATGCTTACTGCAATCTCCCAGCCTGCATGCTTCATAGGGAGCTCTGGCAAGTTGGGTCTCTGCTGTTGGTGGTGGGAGGAGGGAGACATGGGGAGCTGAGCCCAGGAGAGGGTGCTGCCCCTGCTGCTGGATCCTGTTGTCCTTGGATGTCAACCAGTTGAAGACTCCTGTGCAGTCCCAGGGCTGGGACCAACAATCAAATGATTGCCAGTCTCAGCCCTGGGGCTGTACTGGAGCCAGTTAGAATTGCCTATGCAGTCCTGCAGCTGGGATCATAGATCTCAGCCCTGGGACCACAAATTGCTCATGTTATTTTTGTGGAGTGGTCAGATGATAGTTGAACACATGTTACTTAATATGATCTGTGAAAAGTCATAACTTTGCTACAATCCTAGTGAACTTAGCATATGTTTTAGTGATTGAGTGTGCAGACTTTTGCATTTTAAGTGCAGTTAACATGTTCTAAGTGCAATGTATGACAATGCCCAAAAAGAAATCCAAGGAAACTTTTAAGATTAGCCTAAGTGATATAAGGCATGGGTGTGGATATAGCCCAGGTAAATACCACTTTCTAGGAAAAGCACCACTGCCACTAAGGTGTTGCTACAAACTGTCTGGCAGGAGAACAGGTTGACAAAATGTTACTCTTTTGATCCGACATGAAGTGCATCACCTCTGCAACATGTCTGGTCTTGGTTCTGGGTCGTGGGTAATGGGACTTGGGTTCTGCGACTCAGTTACTGCAGTGCTGGACATATTTTCTGCTCTGTAACAGGAAGCTCCATTTTCTTCCCTCCCCCACTACTTCTTCACTCTACTCTTCTCCCTATCCCCGAAGATGGTTCAGTGAGGTGAGTGAATGAATAGCTTTCACCTTGAACAACTGAACTCCAATGCAGGCAAACATGAACTGCAGCAAAGTGGTGACAATCACTATGTTCCCAATGGTTCTGATGGCAACAAACACGCACTGGACCACATGCTGCAAATAGAAGACAGAGGCAAGAGTAACTGGAAGGATCATTCTGAGTTGCTCTTGCTGTGGAAGGAACCTGTAAGTTCAGCAAAAAATATAAAGTATATAAAGTATACTACAAAGTGGCATTTCCAGAAATAAAAACCCCAAAGCCATGCCTAGAATGTGTGTTGTACACCTATAAGATGTAAACTAGTAGAAAAGCAGTGAAGAATACTAGGATTCATCTCTATAAAATATTTAGTAAGAAGCATGATGGATGTATATTTGAATACACATCCTAATCGTAAGAATGGACCTTGCTAACAAAGAAGAGGAAACAATCAAAATACATACATCTGGCCATTTGCAAATCAAGCCAAACTTAATGTACTTTAAGCCTTCTTGCCTTGACAGTGATCAAATACTACCTGCACTGTTTTAAAAGGCTGGTACTTCTTGCCAGAGGTAACTTGGGTTTCTAGCATTTAAGCACTACCTGAGGAGATCAGAATTTTTCTAACCTTTAGCCCTTTGGCTCTGTTGATGGCCCTCAATGGTCTGAGCACTCGTAGTACACGTAAGATCTTCACTACGTTGATGGCACTAGATCTGAAAGAAAATAGCAGTGAATCAATAGCAAGAGAAGGGGGCCTAGCTGTAGGGGAAGCTGGGTGCTTGACTTTTACCCAGTCTTTCTTGTTTGTAAATATTCTTGGAAACCCAGGCCACTTAAGACTTTAGAGTCATCTTGTTGCTGATGCTACAGCTGTTCAAAGCATCAAGGTGACCACAAGGATAGAACTCAATCCTTTGCTTCCAAAGCACAGGTTACTATAACTTCGGCGACAGGAGAATCTCCATGGGCTGTCAGAGCTATACTTAAGACATGTTGATTAACATAGCTTTGATTTAATCTGCCAGAGGACAATGATACACATAACCACTAGCCAGCTCATTACAATAATTTATTTCCCTCAAAAAACTTCTTTCTGTGAGTAAACATAATGCAGAGACATTAGTAACAAGGTACTCTAACTTACATCTGCGTTTTTTAAAAAAATTGTAACCATGTTTCAGAAATCCCCAAGGGAGGAGAAGTATTTTGGGGGCACTTCAAAAAGCTGCAACTTAGGCTTGGTAATTGCCATACTGAATTATCTGTGCAGGTTCTGCCACCTCGTCTGTACAGCCCCTGGTTATATCCAGATAGCATTAGCCATCTCAGCTGTATTCATGAAGGGAGGAGAACACAGGGAGGGCTCTCTTCAGCAAGTCAAGCTGCCAAATACACTGTGGATATGTAATGGAAACTCTGCCAAGATGAAGTCATCATAACACATTTTAAGATACGGCACAAAGAAGGACTCTACTGAAATGCTACTGAAAGGAGCTTCCCAGTGACTCATGCGTATAAAGGTACAACACCCAATCTGGCATTCAGTATGGCAAGGTGCTTGGATTCTGACCCAAGAAAAGTGCTGATGCTTACCCTGAACTTTATGCAACTTTGTGAATGTCTTGTTAGATCAGCATCAAAGGGCATAACCCGTTTCACACTTGCTCCTTAATGCAGAATGTGTCCTATGGCTTTGCAATGTTAGCCCCATCCCACTGTTTTTGGGAACATCATGCCTGTGCTAATATATAGAAGCCTTTGAAGACTGGGGAGAACAGCCAAAATTAACTCTGAACTGTCCTTGGGAACCTGACTGGAAGCCTTCTAAGGTTCATAAGAGCTTTCAAGTTGACTTCAGTGGGCTTTGAAACCAGTCTTAAGTGAGGTGCTATTCAGTTGAGGGGAATTACCTGAGCTATTATAGGATCAGTTGGGATCTTATTATTTTGGAACTGCCCTGGCAGTATCCTCAGACTTTCTTTCACTTGAGGTAGAAAGTTTTACCATAACAAGCAATGCTATTAACATGGTTAATTAATAAAAAGAAAGTTGTGTGGCACAATGACTAGGCAATGACAACAACACCAACTCCACAATTCTATCCTAAAGCTCTCAAAACACTTGGTAGGCATTCATTGATTAAGACTCAAAACACTTCTGTGAAGTAGCCAAATATTATTATCCCCATTTTACAGAAGGAATAATTGAAGAACGGACATGTTACAGTGAACATCCCGAAGTAACGCACTTTGAAATATCACTGAAGTCAGAGAACTGTGAGTGGAGTCCAAGGGTCTCATGAATTTTTGTTTGAAATGCTGACCACATTATATCGCTCATTTGGTACCTTCAGTATCTCCCTCCAGGTATTATAACCAAATTGACCTGGTGCATTACTAGCCTAACTAGAATAAATTTCTCCAACTTCTGGCACCAGCTAGAAAAAAAAAATCTTGAGATTTCAGTGTTGGTATTCAACACAATGCAAGGAAAAAAGAAAGACAATATGACCTACAGAGTCTATCCCACTGACTCCCCCCCCTTCAAAAGGCCCTCCAGTGGACAATGGCTCACTCACTGGATCCCAAAGGAGATGAGAGAAACGCTGACTACCAGCAGATCTAGGATGTTGAAGTAGTTCCTGCAGAAGGAGCCCTTGTGAAGGAAAGCCCCATATGCAGTCATCTGTGGGAAGGGACAAAGAGACAAACAAACTTTTCCATTAGTAGTTGCCCGGGAATCATATCTCAGATCATATTCAGCTGGTCATGCTCAAATGTATGTTCTGTGGGAGGGGGGACAATATTTCTAACACAGTGACCATTTTATCCCAAAACCCCAGTGAACAAGATGGGTCCCCATGAAAGGGAAATGAAAGGTAGATCCTTTGGAGCCTATGATAACTCTTTCTTTGAAATCAAAGCAAACGGAATATAAAATTTTACTCAGAAATAGAAAAGGCGCACAGTGAATGTTTGCAAAAAGAGCTCTTTCTAAAAACCAAATGATTTCCCCTTTATTTTCAACAGGAGAGGGCACTTGGAACTAAGATGCCTGCATGTTTTAAAAAACTTGATTAGACTTAGTAAAAATATGAAATCAGAAAGTGACTTTCTTTTGTGATATTTCTTGTTGCTAGGTCATTGGTAATAGACAGTGGAGCCCCTCCTCCCTCTGAGCAAGAACAGCAACTGAATCACTTGGGGGTTTTATGCTTTAGACCAGGGCTAAAGCAACAGGAGGTATTCTCTTTCCATTTGACTTGCTCCCTGTATTCAGAAACCCACTCCCCTATCTCCATGCCTTGTTTTCCCCTTAGTTTGAAGCCTCATATGGTTTACATTTGTTTTCAATAAATTATGTTGGGGGTTTTTTTTCATTTCCCTCTGTTCCTTTCTTACATATCTGAGGAAAGGATTCCATGGGACAATGTTTGTAAGACATTTGTACCAGGGATATCAGTCACTGAGAACACTTTACATTTCTGGAACATGAAGAATCCATTTCTTTTACTAGGTATCTTTCCTCTAGGATAATGCACTCTGGTGAATAAGCATCAGTTTCCGTGTAAAAATATGGAACTTTTCTGTACACAGGTGGAATTTTAAGGCTCCAGAAATATACATACTGGCAATATACCTAGAAATAGGTTTGAAACAAAACTTCAGGCCTAAAGACCTTTGAGCTTTGGAAATTTTAGGCAATGATTTGAATTTTATGGCTAAGACCCATTTAAAAAGGTAAGACTAGCATTGAGGTTTCTCAGAATGACTGGCTCTAACCAGATTGCTCAAAACAGAAGAAAAACAATCAGAAAAAAATCCAGTAAGCACGAGAATATGCTTAAAAATGTTTCCTGGTTCTCGTTACCAGCCCAGGAGAATGTGATATAGAATTTGATAACACTTTCCAAGCATGGCTGCTCATGGCAATTCCAGCCAAAGGACTGTGGAAGAGAACATGATATAGCATATTACTTATTCACCAAACATCTATGACATTAGGGAACTGACTACCAATCAGTCAGACAGAACTTAGAAGGAAAGAAGTATAAACTCTGGACTCAGTTTAGAATTTATACTTTATGGACACATCAGATTGAGGGAGGGAAGGGTTCTTGCCATGACAAAAGTGGTAACCATGACCTTTATTTTGTATGGCAATCTTGAAAGAGAGGGGGCACCATTGAAATAAAGATAGGAAGCTCTGTTAAGTTTAAGTACTATACAATTGTGGTACTTTTGTGGCCTGTTGAAAGATGTAATAATATTCAGAGGAAATAGCAAAAAAAAATCTTTTTCCTCTGTGTCTGCCTTCCACTTGTGGCAGCCCAAAGCAACTCCAATGCCACTGTGAAAAATATATATAATTTGTGCTTATGCAGCAGTTCACGTGTCCAAAAGACTGTGCAGAAAACTTGTTAATCATATTGTTTATGAGTATTATCAATTCAATGATGGAGCTTGATTCTCCATCGTCTCCAACCTTGTACAGTCACAGTCACTACTACTGTTTATCCTAACATTGCACAAAAGACTGCACAGGATGCAAGACGGCAGAGTAACAGACCCTGAGAGATCATGTGCTTTGTCTAAGGTCAAGCTGTGAAGCAATACTTGAAATAGGATTAAAACCCAGGATTTCCTGATCCTCTGCTCAGCTCTTACTCTCTTCTTCATCTCTATACCTAGGGAAAGTCCAGAAGTAACTGTATTTCCACTGAAGTTCATGGGAGTTTTGCCATTGCCTTCAGTGGAGCCAGAATTTCATCCCAGAGTTAGTTACTGTAAGTTACAATTCTGTAGGGAAAGCAGAGCACTATGGTAAGGGATTTGTTAGTTAACAGGTTCAGTTAACTGCCACTGAAGTGAAGGAGAGATCTGCATTTACTTCACAGGGAACGGGGTTGAGCTACTAATGTTATGCTCCTGTGCATTCAAATCAACTGAAGGTCTCCTTGTCAGAGAGTTGAGGCCTGGGCTATAATTTGATTTGAAATGTGGTTGCTGCTTTGCTTCCTTTTTGCCATGCTTTTTTTTGTGGGCACTTAGATTTACGGTCTAAATATGCACTCTGCACACAGCAGCACAGCATGAAGTGTGAACCTCTTTGGAGAGTGCCGTGGCTGTGGTGCTTTGAAGCCAAACAGACAAGTGCAGTCCTGAACAATACTCAGGGAGCATCTTGTCCCCTTAGTTTTTGGTGGGATATCACATTAGCTGTCTGAGGTACAAGATCTTAGCAACTCCAGGGAGAAATGCTGCTACCTGCCAGAGCTCAAAACCAGCTCACTGTGACAAAAAACAAGCTGTCAACTGAACCCTGCATTTAGAGAGCCAGAAACTTTGCTTGATTACTGTTATTTAAAACATTAGACTATCAATTTGGGGAAATGAGAGTTAAGAAAGAGGTAGCATATTTTTATTTTCTCCACAGTCAAACCATTCTCTTGCTACATTTCCTCATGGGTAGAGTGTTTCCCTGGGAAATCAGAAGGGGGTAAATCAGCCAGGCAGTTTTACTCTCTCAATCAGTAATTTTCTATCATGAGTAACCATCCCAGTTACAGTTCTTCATACTTTAAGTGACCTGTATGCTAAGCTCTCCCTCCATCCCTCAACAGTGAGATCTATGCTGGGTCTCTGTCATGGGTGACTGGTACCTCCTGAGACAGCGGGACATGTGCTCCCCCAGCAGCCAGTCAGCAACCGTAGGGGCATCCCTCATGGCTAATCTCGCCAACTGGAGGGGTCCCTCTGCAGCCGATCGTGCTGACCCGGAAGTGCCAGCGATGCTTCTCCTGGCACCCCCAATCTTTGGCTGGCACTCGTGGGGGGGAGGGGGCACCAGTGCTCCCACCTGCTCATCACCTAACTGGAGAGCGCTGGCTGTCAGGGAGTACACCAGCACTCTCAGGGGGTGCACATGCCCCCCCGTGCATCCCCTACACGTCACCACTGGTCCGTGTTTACTTCTGATTTCTCTTATTCAGTTGGGCTAACTGTAGCCTATAATAGATGTTTGGCTTCTTCAAACCCCAGTTTCATGACTGGGAAGAACTCAGAACTTGACACTGAGTTACGGCATGCAGAAGGGGCATCAGTTCAACCCCTGGGAGAAGGCGCATCAGTTCATACAGTGCCACCTTGCAAGCCCTCAGAAGACCTCAGAAGCATAACACCAGCTGACGCTAACACGAGTCTGGCCTACAGAAGGTGTGCAGGCTCAGAGTTCTTTGTACATCCTGCAGAGAATGGCAACCATTGGGGTACGTGTTTAGGAAGCTGGCTTTTTTCCTCAGCCATCTCTTATATCTCCTGACAAGAATGCCCTTTTATATTGAGTCCCCAACACAGCATCATACTGACACTGGCCTTATAGTAAAATGTAATTTTTATATCAAAATTAAACAGAAGACTTGTTTAAGTTTTAGACAACTATTGATAAGATAAAAGCCAAAGAAAATAGTGTCTGTGAAGATAACAGGGATTTAAAGTGATACATAGACAAAAGAGAGAAAGAGAGAAGTGTATTGCTCATATTGGTTACCTTAAGAATAATTTCTAATGTAAAGATACTAGTGAAGACATAGTCTGCATTGCCTAGGATCTGAAAAATAAGCACAATTGGGTTAGTGGTACTGAGTGTGACCCAGAGACAAACAGGCGTGTGTGTGTTAGCAACAGAAAGCGGCAGATAACTAGGAGGCTCACAAGTGACAGGTAATGGTAGAGAAGATGGGCACTTTACCTTCAGAGCAATTTCAATGGTGAAAATGACAGTAAAAACTATATCAAAATAAAAGAGAATCTGTAAAACAAAAGGGAATAAGGGTGGGGTGTAGATCAGTGACTGACCACTGTAACAGGAAATAGTCCAAAATCAAAATGCACAAGCCTGCTAACAGGAGACAAGCAAAATATATGAAAAATGGTACTGTAACAACACCCTGTTGAATGCAATGAAGTTCTTGGCACAAGATACAATAAGCACATCAAATGAAATCTTTTCTGTGAGTGACAATCCCATGAGGGCTTTGAAGGCAAAACATGTTTTTGTTTTGTTTTGTTTTGAATTTTATAAAGAATAGACAATTCAAGGATTTCCCAAATATACTTCTAGACTTAGAACACAAGAAGGGCTGGTCTCTTGGGGGAAAAAGATATGGGTTCCTTTTATTAACTTCTGTGCCTGGTTGCAATGGAAGAAAAACAAACTGCAAATAGGCATATAGGGTTGTGATTCCTTTCTCTCACTCCTGACTTGTCCTGGATTAGAATGAACAACAGGGGCCAGGATCTTATTTCATTTATTAGGAGCTGAAGTTGACTTGGTATCTAACATTATGGACCAATGTACCTTTTAGGGGCTTTAAAAGCAAGGTGGAGCTACTATTTGGAGTGCATACCTCTTACCACCTAACCGCTACATCTGCATGATAATGCAGTGATACAGTGAGCTAACTTGCCCCAATTTTGATCCTGAATGAAGCAGTTAAAATTGGAGCAGTTTTGTTACACTTGTATTGCTACAGAATCAAGCAGTTGCACGGTAACAGCAGTACCTTTTGATAGTGGTACAAAGGTTACATATACCTATACCCACCTATGATCCTATTCCTCTTTGAGTTCCTGAAAATGCATTAATGCTTCTAACTGTGTAACGCAGTCACCTTAGCCTTAAAAACTAAGGCCATACATATGTGTTATGTTTCTATCAAGAGAACTGCAGCTCTCCCAGTAGAAACCATGACTGGACAGACATTCACATAGTTTCTTCCAGAACAAAACTGGTGGTTCTGGAAGAAAAACAAGCTATCTCCAATCCAGTAGAAGTCACTCCTGGGAGAAGAAGTACTTGTATACTTCCCTGCTGCTTGATTCTGTCCAGAGACCAGGAGGATTTAATCAGTGGGGCAATGCCTCCTGTGCCCTCTGAAATCACGGTCACCCCAGCCTGAGGAAGGCAGGAGAAGTAGTTGCTGCTCATCTCTTCCTGGTCCCAAGAGAAGTTGAATGGCAGGGAAAAGCTCCCCTGTCTTTCCCAGACTGGGGTCATCCTGGTCTGGAGAGGGCATGGGACAGAGTTGCTCTGTTCCCCCCTGTAGATCAGGAGGGGAGGGGAGGAGCAACTGCTGCAGCTCCCCACCCACTTCTCACATTGCAATGCCTGGTATGAGGAGCAGAAAGGGGCTTTGCTGCACTGCTCCAGTGCCCACTGCTTTGAGGAAGGCATGAGGAGTGGGGAGAAGTGGTTGAATGCCTATACTGCTACCTCTCATGGAAACAATTCTAGTGGTAGAAAACTTCCACCACTAGAAATGAATGTTTGTATGTGGCCCATGTCACATGAAAGCAGTGAGGAAGAGGATGACCCATCCATCTTTTGTACTGACAGCTTATCAGAGACTCAGGCAGGGTGGAATAAAATCACACTGAAGTACTTGAGTCTACTTCGGCACCTACCTTGGGGAGCAGTACATGGCCTCAAATGTATGCTTAGAAACTGAACATGGAGTTTTTGTCTAGATTGAAACAAGAGGCAATGGCAGACATGGATATGTAGAATGACCTTCAAAGCAGGCAATGTCAGGAGACATGGATATTTTAACTATGAATCAATCTCAATCCCACTGGAGGGAACAGGAGTTTTCCCATCGACTTTCAAGGGGTTAGGTTTTACCCTCTATATTTCTGCTATAGGGAAATACTCATAATGTAGTCAAATCTGCCAGAGTCTCTGAACCCTTTTCTTTTAACTACACAGTTACATGTGCAAATCAAGAATGTTTCTCCCTGGGCTTGCTGTCTTGTTAGTTGAATTAAACCTTAAATTGAATAGTTTCCCAAAGGAAGTAGTAGAAGCCCCATCACATGGCAAATATGAATCTTGGCTGGACAAAACACTAATAAACATACAACAGGAGATTATCTTTCAAATGGCAAGGAGATGGACTCCACCTCTGGTACATATTTCCTATCTCTAGACTTCACTGTGTGATATAAGTGGTGGTGTAACTTACACTTATCTAGATTCAAATATATTATTATGCTACATAAATATGGAATGACTACTGCAACAAGTGCAGCTATCTAGATACAACTCGTAAATTAAATCGGAACTCAGAATATTTTGCAAATATACTAAAGGTCAAACAGAGACAAGTATTGCTGTTTAATTACTGAACATATGTCTTAAAGCACAGTAAGCCATGGCTGAAATTTTGTCTCAGAAACTTCATGGGAAGTTGCACCTATTTGTGGGTGCATCTACTAGTTCTACTGTGCATTAGTATGGCTGGCAAAAACCATACTAATGCACTAATGTGCAGCAGATTTAGTCTAATGTGCATTAATGTCACTTAAAAAGTGTTCACCCACGCTGATCACAGCGCATTAAGTTAGCACCCATTACAGGTACTAAATTTAATGTGCCATAATTAATGCAGTCTGAGGCAGGATTTGGACTTATAATCCTTTGTGGAATAATGTTATAGTCAGTTGACCAGATTTGCAGTTACTCTCCAGCTGCTTTGCATCATTCTAATGACACAAAGCATCAGTGAACTTGATTAAATCAGATGATAAAAATGCTTTTATAGCTGTTTTGCATCACTAGAACAGCACAAGGCAGTGAATCTGGCCCAGAAGAAGTTTTCAGTGGTCATATAGAAGCAAAAGCTATGTCTGATGGAAATGACTGCAGATCACCAGCTTCATTTTGGGCATGCTCCTCTTCAGCACTTCCACCTCTATACACAAATCCAGAAATGCAGCAGTGAAGCCACTTGTGGTGTGTCCCTGGCACTGCTCTCAAACCTGCTAGAGAAAGAGGTTCTCATAAGTGGCCATATAGGGAATCCCTGTAGTCTTCATTACTGCATTTCTGGGTGTGGTATGTGGAACCCAGAGTAGGTGGAAACAACTGCTTGAACATGTCCCTCCCCAAGAGCCCACTCTTCCTGCCTACTTTGTGGAGGTTAGTGCCTATAGCATTACTAGCCTTGCAGACACTTTATGCACAAAAGAGGCCATAGACCAGCCTGTGTTGTCTCTGTGTGAGTGAACAAGAAGAGTTAGGCTGCTTGTACCTTCTTCCCAGCCTCATGCATAGGGCAGGGCACAATCTCACAGTTATACTACCAAAGCATAAAGGCAGGTTGAATTTGCAACTCAAATTTCTTGTTAGTATCCTCTTGCATGGTATTTTAACAATTTAAAAAAAATTAACGACTGTCAAAGTATTACAAGTTCTTCAAAAACTAGACTAGAAAAGCTCCATAATGCCTCTCTGGAGAGCAGATCCCAGACTTCTCATACGCAACTGCTGACTCTTCATTTCTGTGATGACACAAAGTAATTGAGGAAGCTCTTGGCATACCTAAAAGAGCTATGTAATTTTTATGGGGGTTAATAAGAATTTTTAGAAAAGCAGGTGAGAATGTATTTCTGTGCTGAATGCCCTCTAAGGCCTGCTCAGTAAAGGACATTAACATATTTGTTGAGGATTATCTCAAAGTCTGTTGATAGTTTTGCACCCTGCATTCAAATGCTAATGACCAGACTCCAGTTTCAATAACACTGAGTTTGTACCAGTGTGACTGAACTGGCCTGAAGAGGTTTACAGCAGTGTCAGTGGGCACTTGTACATGTGACAAAAATTTCCTTTGTGTGGCTTAATAGCATTATACAATACATATGCGCAATGTTTGAGGGTTTCAAATGAGTTTGCAATGTTTGCAGCATTGCAAATTGCAATGATACAGCTGTCAGCTCCCCCACCAGCCACAGGAGAGGTGGGCAAGCTCCACTGATAAAAAGGATTGGGCCCTTCACCACTTCTGCCTTCAGCAGGCACCTGGCAACTGCAGGCATTGGCGGAAGGCAGAATCGGTGGAAGGCAGGGGCCCAATTTTTTTTTCTTTTTTTGTGGAGCCTGCCTGGCTGTCCCACAGCCGGGGACGGGCAAGTTTCCAGGGGGCTGAGCAGTCCCTGAGCTGTGGGAGGCCACAGTCCTTCCCTCAGCAGCAGCATGCCCCCCCAGATCACCTGGGTGGGCTGCTAGTGTCCCCGGGGTTGCTCCAGCTCAGAGACAGAAGCCAACCTGATCCAACTCTTCCCTGAGCCTGCTGGGGCTTCCAGCACCCCGTGAACTCTCCCTGCTGCCTTCCTGCCACTGGTGTCTGCCTGGGAATGGGCTGGCTTGCCCCTGGGGCAGTGGAGGGAGGCATTAGGAGGGTGGCTGGGTGTGCTGGTGGCTGAAGAAGGTGGCGGGGATGGTGCATGGGGTGCTGGAAGCCCAGAAAGGCTTGGGGAAGCTTGGGCTTGGCAGGCTTCCGGCTCCCCATGCACCATTCCTGCTGCCTTCTCTGGCTGCCAGCACACCCAGCTGCTCTCTTGCTGCCTCCCTGAGCTGCCCCAGGGGCAAGCCAGCCCATTCATCGGTGGCAGGAAGGTGGTGGGGACAGTGCATGGGGTGCTGGAAGCCCCAATGGGCTCAGGGAAGAGTTGGATCTGGCTGGGTGCTGCCTCCAAGCTGATGCAACCCCCAGCCCTCTAGCAGCCTGCTCAGGTGGCCCCAGGGGCACTGCTGCCACAGAGGGAAGAACCAGGGCCTCTTAGGGGCCACTTTCCCCACTGGAAGCTCACCCTCCAGCTGGGGAGAGGCAGGCAGGCTCAGCAAAAAAAGGATCAGGCCCCTGGAGGCCCTTCACCATAATGTGAAAGAAAAAACTGAAATGGGTTTCAATTACAAACCAAACATTTCAATTTAGAGAGCATAAAATAAAACCATAGGGTGTGTGTAGATGAAACAGGGGCCCTATACTGAAGTGGTGGGTTTTTAAAAACACCACTTCAATTCAGGGCAGATTAAACCCCTGTGTCATGCACACAACCCATTGACTTACCTGCCTCCCCAGCAGCGGGGAGGGGAGGGCGAGCCGCTGGCGGACAGAGTGGTCCCTGGGCTGCGGGAGTGCTTCCCTCCACAGCAGCGGCGGCCTCCCTCCCCAGGAGGCACCCACCCACAGGCACCTGGCTCGAGGGTCTGGGAGGATACTGCAGCCACAGAGGGAAGCACCGGGCCCCAGTGCAGCTCAGGCAGGCAGGCAGGCTTGGGGAGGGTGGGGGGTGGGGAAGATCAGGCTTGCTGCTTTTCTTGGGCAAAACCTGCTTTCCTGGGCTGCTGCTAGGCTGCCTGCAAGGCTTCTTGCTGAGCCATGGAGCTGCACGGAGTCGGGTGCTTTGCTCTGTGGTTGTAGGGGCAGCAAACTAAAACTCCTCCTCAGAGTTTTAGTTTGCTGTGCCCCAAGTCATTTAAGGTGAATTACGCTGCCGAATTTCCTACAGCGGCTGGAATTAATGTGCAATATGCTGCCAGGGCGTGCAAACATCAACACCAGTAAAGTGGTGCAGAAGCATTTAGCCCGTTTTAAAGTGTCGTGCACACACGCCCTTCCTTTTGTCTGCACATGGCCATAGAGATTAAGCCCCCATCATATGTACAAGTGCCCAATGGAGGTCAGAGTCAGGCCCAGGGTTTCTCATGTGAAAACAGGGGTGGGACAGGAAAGCTAAAATTCTGAAAGGAACTTGGAGAAATGAAGAATTATTTGAAACCCAATCTAAGTTTCTAGGTTCCATTTCTGCTGTGCTCTCCCTACACCCCAAATCCCCTCTTTGACAGAAGGCCTATTTTTTACTTCACATTTTCTCTCATACCCCACAACTAAGGGGTTATGATATGGCCAAATTATGCCTTGATTTGTGTTCCCTGCAAGCCCAATGATTTTTATATAGCCTATATAAGGCATAAGATAGGACAGAAAGTCACTCCAGAAACTTCTGATCTAGCTGTCTCTGCACAGCCATCAGTCTCTTCTAGCTTTGGTTCAATAGCTGGTTGAACCACAGTCTTAATGTGTAGTGAGGGAAGGAGAGTGGGAGGCATACTTGGTTCCTAAAGGAGTAGTGTCGGACAGGGTCCTCGGCTGCCAAAGAGATGCTGCTGAGCAAGATGAAAAAGAGGATCAGGTTGGTGAAAATGTTATCATTAACGATGCGATGGCAGTGGACACGAAACCTGCAAGAGAGAGGAAAGACATAAACCTTATTCATTAGAACCAGCATGGAGAGAAAACACAGGGATGGGAAATACATTCCCTCTTCTTTTCTGGCTGAGGCTGTACCTGGAGGAGTGATCTGCATAATTCACTCTGGTCCAGCAGCATGGGAAAAAGGGAGGCCCTGCAGCTGTGCCTGAGTCCACATGGTATTAAGCACTCTGAGCTCCCAGTGAATCACTTGCCCTGGTGTTCATGGGTGGGGGGTATGTCTGAGCATACCCACCCACCTGTTCTCAGTCACATGCCAAATCTAGAAGCATGGTAGTGGAGCAGTTCTGAGAGCAAGCATTCTCCCTTCCTGCACATGGCTGCTCTTGTGATCTCTGTCTTGAAAGCAGCCATGGGGGAGGCCCCTGAGAGAGTTTCAAGCCACATTTCCACTTTTGGTGTGGGACATCTATAAGCAGGAATGGGTGGGTGGGGTCAGAGTACTGCGAACGTGGTGTACACACGTCCTCAGTGCCTCACAGAAGGTCAGCATCTTGGAGGAGTGTGACATAGATACCTCAGTGAGGCAGAGAGAGGATGGCAACAATCTCTCTTGGTATGTTTGACTTCTATTAGATTCAAAGTCCCATAGCTTCACTCTGAAGCTAAACCATTTGCTTCAAACAAAGGGATCTAAATGAGATAGAAATCCATTTAGGATCAGTCTTCACCAGTTCTTTCAGCTTTTTTCCCCAGGCACATTACTGAGCTGACCTGAGAATGGTATTGCAATGTCTGCATATGGCTAAGCCAGTGCAGCATACAGGAACAGGGAGCTGGGGAGGGGCATCTAGGGGCATACAATACAGTTTCCATCTGCTACAGTTCAGAACTAACATAAGGCATTTCTTGCTATTAGCAGGAGCCTATCCAGCAAGAACCGAAACCAAGTTCAGGCCGGTGGAAATGTGCCCTTGCCTAGTTTGACTGGAACCTCCATAGCTCTTTCCATCTCAAGGCACTTCATATAGAAAGAGACATGTAGCCACACAACACCTTTGTGTGTCACTGTAGATAAACTGTCATTTTATTTAGGTCCCTGTTTTGCTTCTAAGCCCCTAGTATTTATTATAGCAAGTTTACCGGTGATTGAGGAAGTGAAGTCACTTTTTCAAGAAAAAAAACATGGGTTAAAGCCAGGATCAGAATTCAAGAGTCCTGACTCCCATTACCCTACTGTCTACTATAACCCTTTTTACAGGGTAATTACATCAGTCCTGCCATGGAAAGACTGGCCTAGGGTTCAAATGTGCCCTTATGACAGAGCCTCATGTGTGGACTGCACTGGTGTGCACTTCCCTGTGAGGCAATTTGCCTCTGGCAGTGTGGTGCTTCACAAAGCATGTTCACTTGTTACATCCTGGAAAGGAGGCAGCATGCATTTCTATTTGTGGTAGCCTAGGACCCAGTAGCATAGTCGGGAGAATATGAGGACCATGCTGCTCACACCCCTGCAATGGGCTATGAGAGAGTGTGAGGCTTCTAATAGCCCTTCTTCTTTTACACCTAGGCAAATTTGAGCTTGCTCCTACTCTTCAGTTACATGTGTAAGATACAGCTGAGCCCAAAAAGGAAACCCTGCACATTCTCTTGAAAGCCAGATGGACCCATTCTTTGCTCTGATGTTATTTTTGTTATTTCTGCATCACATCAGGAAACCCATCTGCTAATTACATTCCAAAATTCCCGCACTATCTCAAGTAGATGCCATTTTTTAATATAGGCAAAAATACTTCTGGCCACAACAGCTGACTTTTCCATCTAGCAGGGAGTGATGCAGAGAATAAATGATTCAAGGGAATTGTTAAGGATAGAGGTAGGTTTTCATCTCTAGGTGATAATGTCAGCCCAGTGGACCCAATCCTGATCTGACTGATATCAGTGACAAAAACTCTCAGTGATATCTGGCGGCAGTGGCAGATTCCTAAGAAGTGGCAATAGCTGGCACCAGACGATTTATCAGTGGTCTATGATGGTCTCAGGACACTGGTAAGCTTATTCCATACATGGCTGGCCACTGCACAGCCTTCACATAGTAATGCATTTCAGTACCTCCTGATCACGAACGGGACAAGGCTACTGACAGACAGATTAAGGCTTCAGATCTCATTGGCCATGCAGAGATGTTCCATTTGTGCCAGAAGAAACACTTTTCTTCCAGCACAAAAAGGACAGAGTACAGACCTTCAACATCTTTCATGCAGAAGAAAAATGTCTCTTTTGCAAGAAGTTAAATTGGTTACTTATGAGGAGGATCTTCCTCCTGATTTAATTTGAACATCTATACATTTCTCTTGGGAGAAAGAGACACCAGTATCCCACAGTCCTCTGCTCTCCCTCCTTCAATCTCCAAGTGAGGGAGAGCAGAGGACTGTGGGATACTAGGTGTCTAATGCCCGAGGAGAATTCTCTCCTGCCTCAGGGGAATACCCCCTCCCCACAATCAACTCAGGGGTAAAAGTCCCTGCCCAATGTACTCCTCTATCCTGCACCTGCAGGAAGAACCAGGTGCACTCACAGCTGGAGCTTTTCTAGGGTTCCAGCCCTGGGAGAATGCCCCTCTTGTCTGTCCTGCCAATCAACTGGATGGCAGGAGGTAGAGGGACTATTTTCCTGTGAACACTCCTCCCCTGGGAGTGTTTGTGGGCAGGAACGCAGTTAGTGCTCTGAGAGGATCCCTGCAGTATGAGAAGAGCCCCCACGTGGTGCATTACTCCCATTCCACTGGAAGGCATAAAAGGGCAGGGATAACATTCTCCTATGGCAGAAGGATGATCCTCCCTCATCCCTTCTACCCAGGCTCAAGTAGCCTTGTAGCCATGGGAGATTTCTGGAGACTGGGTGAAGAGGAAGGCAATGTGGGAGAAAGCATGGGAATCAGGCTGGGGAAGGCTGTCCCCAACTCTAGTTCCTGGCCTCTGGGTTTTAAATGATGACCCAATCACCTATCTGGTGGGGAGTGCAATGCTCCAGGGGCCAGAAACTTGGGCTGGGGAAGCTATCCTCACTCCAGTTTATGGTCCTGTGGGTTTTACATGTTGCATGTGCTACCCAGCTGGGAAGAACATGCAGCAATTTAAAAGCCAAGGAACAGGGACCCAGGGACAGGGAAGCAGTCCTCAGCCCCACTTCCCTGAGTCTCTGGCTTTAAATCATCCCATTTGTAACCCAGATGGGCTGCACATGTGACCATTTAAAAACCAGGGGGCTGCCTAACCAGGCAGGCAGGGGAGAGCGTAAGCTGTCAAGTAAGGATGGGGATAGCTCAGGGAGCAGCTGAGAAATTCTTAATAGCTAAGAACTTCTTTCTGAGAAATTTTTACCATAGAAATGAACTTCTGTACGTGGTCATTGCCAACTTCAGACCTCATTTTTTAGGTAGTGCCCTGCTTCCTCTTCAACTTGTTTTAAGTTTATTCATAGCATATGGACTAGTCAGATTTGTAGTATACCTCCCAAGGACTAGAATGTGGTCCATAATGCCCAAGCTGTATATAGAGAGAGATACAGAGCTCTGATTCCCCAAAAGGTACATCAAAGAAGAGTGGAGAAGAATGCTCTCCCCAGCAATCCAGTCCTGTGGAGCCACGAATTGTCTTTCTACCTGTCCCCTTTTCTGCATCCTATTTTGTGGATGGGAGGAATGAGTAAGAACACAAGGACTGCTATTGTGTGCAGTCTTTGGGAAGCCACTGAACAAGAAAAACCTTTCTTGTGCTTTGGTGGCCACACAAGGTCTGCTTACAATAAGGCCTACATGTTTTGGGACATTCCAGTGGCCAGCACAGAGTGCTTGCCTCTGTGTTCCTTACTTCGAAAGCACTTAAGATTTATCTCTCAAACTGGACTCCTGCTAGGCAGGATACTGGTATTGTTACTGATACTGTTACAGAGGTCTGTAGAGCAGGGCTTCCCATCTGGGGTTGCAACTGGGGAGTTGTACAGGCATGACTAGGTCACTGGATGGCCATGCCATGAACAGAAGATATGAAGCTTTGTACCACATGTTCTTGGGGCTCATTACAAAGATGTCCTGTGTTTTCTGGTTGGAAAACTGCAGCAGAGCTGCTTCTCAAATACCTGTTGCTTGGGCTGAAGATAAAGAAAGCACTGGCATCCGGCATGGGCACAGCTTTTTCCTTGAGATGCAGTTCAGACATTGGGCGTGGCCGGGGACCCACAGGCATCTCAGGCTCCTCCTCATCTTCCTCTCCTGGAACAAACAGTTTTGTACTTTAATATTGTCAAGCACATCATATGACCCTGAAGTTTCACTTCCTTCTTTGGCTTGAACTACAACTAGACATTTCTCCTCTTGCTTTATAAGAACGCTGCATGGAGCTGGTGCCTCAGTTGGCACTGTTGTGCCCAGGGGATGGGAACTTTGTCCAATTCTTGTCAGAAATCTCAGAGATGTCACTTTTTAAAATTCAGGAGAGAGAAGCATTAAAAGGCAGAAGACAAAGTCAAAACTCTTGCAGCAAGTTCCTCTGAAGCAGAGCTTCAGACAGTGAAGATCAGTGCCTAACTTGCAAGAAAGGAATGCAATGATGGGGACTGGGATGCCTAAGGGGGCTAAGGAGAAGGTTTGAAAGAGAACCTTAGCCTTTGAGGCTTTCAAGTACATGCTGAAGTCAGATGATGCTCTGTGGAATGTGTGACAGGATTTTGCTATTTTAAAATTCTTAAGTTCATTTAATTTCATTATTAACATAAGCAGAAATGTGCAGCAGAGGGAGAGATTACTGGCTGTGCCCAACCATAGTCATCTTCCAGCCAACATGTAAGAAGAAATCTACTTCATTGAGCACCCACAAAATGAGATAAACTCAAAGACAACTATAGCTCAGCTTCTTGCTTTCTTTCCCCTTCCTTTAATGATTAATTGGACTTTCATCATATTAGAAAGAGGTAGTTTGCCATTTTAGCCTGAAATCAGGCAGAAGACAGGGCAGGATGGCATGCATTCAGAGAAGCACAGACAGAAAGCAGGGCACAGGGGGCACCTTAGACACTAACTTGCTCAGGCCTCTCTAAGGTGAATGAATTAGTCTCTAAGGTGTCCTCTGCCCTGCCTTTTGCCTAACACATTAGAAATTGTAGACAGATCAGCCCAGTCCCTAATCTAGCTACCGGTGACAAAAGAAGAGCAGCCCACAAGAGCATGCAAATATCATACAAGAGCATGCAAACAGTTTTCTCTTCTAGGAGCAATTCAGTTCAGAGGACCAGAGACAAGTGTTTGAGTTTGGCAGGCAGAGCATGTACCTGTTTAAAGAGATACTTTTCTTTAACTGCTCCATTTTCTTCTGTACTACACTTTGTAACATAGTTTGTTCAAGCTTCATTGGTTTTAAAAAAATTCTTTCATGCATGCTTTTCTAAACACTCCTTGCAGAGGTGGTGTTAATGTTAATCATTATAATAATATAGTAATTATCATACTTTGCATTGTTTACATGAGGATTTCAAAGACATTGATGAGCATTAATGAATTTAGCCTCACAACATTCAAGGGAGGGAGGTAAGTAAGTGTGATTAACTTTGTTTTAATGCTTGGGATACTGAGGCAAAGGTTATATAACTTGTCCAAAAGTACACATGGTGTCTAGGAGCAGGGCATAGAAAACTCATCTTCTGATTCCTAATTTTGTGCCTTAGCCACAAGATAACCTTTTCCCTCTTACTATGCATAGCAGAGGAATAACTCTGGAGTATGGGGTGAGGGCTCAGGAGAGTGAGGGACACTACCAGAGTAAGCATTCTGCCTTCTGGGAGATAATGAACTCTACTATCTGCCTCATCCCACCTTTATCAAATATATAAGAACAATATGTGAAAGCTTCTGGGCTCAGTACAGCCTCTGGGTGGGGGATGTGCATTCAAGGTCTCACTCCTGAGGAAAGAAGGTAGCATTTCTTCATATAAAGTAGGCTCATAAGGGCATGGCACAAGTGAACACTAAAAGCCAAATAATTAAAGGGAGTTACAGCTGGTGTAGCCTGACTGTGCCCTCATATCAGGTAACTCCCTGAGAAATTGAAACACTTCTATGAAACTGGAATGCACAAGTACATCCATACAAGCAAATGCCAATTTGGCATGCAAGGGAGATTTCTGGGTACACCTTCTGCATGCTAAATTAATTTACCTTTTTATTTTTGTTTGCCCCTTAACAACTGAAAAGATGCTTGTACTTAAATAAGCATTCCCTCCACTGAAGCCTGTCATGTGAACTGGTCCTGGCAGTCAAGTTCAGATCCAGATTCAGACTTTCCCAAGGTCTGAATCAAAGGTCTTGGTTTGGTTCATTAGAGATTGAAGGGAATGAGCTGTCAAGTTCAGATTCAAAGTTTCCCCGATGTTCAAGTATGTTCAGTGCTAGGCTTTTAGTTTGGAATTATGCTGAACTATATTTTGTTAAAAGTTAAACACACACAATTGACTAAAATGCTGGATCAGTCAGAAGGTTTGGTAGAGAGAGGGAGAAACTTCTTAATTCTTTACATAGGACCTTTGTGGAGGCATATTGTTTTATTAGATCTTTCCTTGCTAAATTCATGAATCATCTTGGACTTTTGACATTACCTGATGTACTCTCTGAATTGGATGTCTCTGTCTGAACTATACTGTAAGATTTTCTCCTCACAATACATCTATCACCTTAATAATTCTTCTAATATGCATAAGCTCAGTGATGGTGCTGATCTTTACAGAGAATGCAGCAGAAGGAGATGGAAAGATAGGTAATTTGAAATGTAAGTGCTCTGGAGGCTCCAGGGGTGGCAGGTTTGAAACTGGACTGTATAGTAGATACAGTGAAATGACACTAATGAGAAAACTAGGATAGATGCAGGGAAAGCTGATAGAAGACTGAGTGAAAAAATGTGAAGAATAAAGGAGAGCTCACAAATGAAATGACAATACTTTTTGGCCACTAGGTTAGTGTGAGAGATTGCCAGAGGATGGGATGACATTATCTCTGAAAGGATGATTGGTACTAACAGAGAAAGCCACAAACTAGAAACAGGTGAATGTTGATGAGACACTTAGAAATGCATCATCTCAGAATGCCTGATAACTGCAGTCAAGATGCAGCTGAAATACAACTATGTACAGGGAGTGGGTATGAAAGGGTCTAAGGTCAGATGTTGTCCCAAATAGTGATGATACAGACATATAGCACCTTCTGTAGCAAAAAAAAAAAAGGCTAAGAAGATGAATAGCTCATAAAATCAGGTAGTCACAGAGAAGTTGATAAGATGGCAGGGATAAATGGAAGTGATTGGAATAGTTGCTTCCCCAATAAACAGGGGAAGTCTTGATCCATTGACTCTCGGAACCAACGAGTAGTGTAGAGAGGTTCTTCAGTGTCAGAGCTTCATAGAGAATAATGAGAAGACTATACAGGAAAGAATGTGACAGATTATTATGATAAGTCTCATTTCCTAATTGAGAAAAGATTTCTGACATACAAAAGTTTAAATAATTTTTCAACCCTGTGCTTCCATGAGCCCTTAGAGAAGCAGCCAGGCAACAACAGGGCTATTAGATATCATTTTCAGCAAATCACTGAGAACAGGAATAGTAGTATAGGACTTGAAAAGAGCAAAAGTAATTCTAATCTTTGAAAAGGGTGAACAGATCAATTCTGGAAACCACCACACAGTTCCCTTTGCTTCAATAAATGGTACAACAGAATGACAAATGACCCTGGAGCCAATCTGTTAGTATTTCACTGATAACATCACAGTGGATAGTAGGCAGCATGAGTTTTTGGATATCTGATCATGGCAGGGAAGTTGTCATTCAAATTATGGACTCTAGTCCATATTATACTCTTCCTGGTATACTAGGCTGCTGCTTGGCATGCCAGGAATAAAGCCTTAGGATGCTCTAACTTTTGCCTGTGAGTCATGGTTCCCAAGAGCCCCTTAGTGAACTACAAGTGTTTTGTGTCCACAGGTATGCAAAGAAAGGAGTTATATACAATCACTGGACACACTTTCCCCCTCAGTCAGCTCTATTTTGATGGTCTGATGCTGAAACAAGAAACCTAGTCTCTTGCCAGACAGGCTATTGATAAGTAGGCAACACATTTATATTTAGCATTTGGATTCAAATACAACACAGTCTTTCTGCCTAGCTGTCCAAACACCTTGTATATTTGTTTAAAATCAATTGTTGTACCTATTTGGCCCCATCAAACTCATTTGCTTACACATATTGAAAGGGAAGACCAGAATAAAAAAGAATTTGGTGTCTGTTAGCCTGCCATCTTAATGAAGATAATCAGTGGTGCTCTACTAAGCAGTGAATCAAGTATTAGTAATAAACATAGGACTGGAAGGGACCTCCTGGTCACTGAGCTATCTCAGGCAACCACACTGCAGAATTCCTTCATAAAAGTATTGCATATTCAGTATCAGCTCACATCTAACCTTTGACCAGCAGTGGATCTGTAAGTTCAAACTGTTATTTCTTTAGGAACCACAGTCTCTCCTTTCATTACCAAGATTGAGAAAAAAGGGCATAGAGGTACCTGGAGCTTCAGTAGTGGGATATGGATTCTTTTCTTCATTTTCATTGGGCTGATAGTCCTCCACATTGATCTGGCAGAAACAGGGGATAGACACAAAGTGCCAGTCAAATAATACATTCCCTTTTCATTTGCTCAGAAACCTGAGCCACCCACAGCACACTCAGTAGTAGCAGTCAGCAGACCTTGGTAGCAGGTGGGGACTCTCCATCAGCAGTGATCGATTTCAGCTCTATTTTCTCCTCCTTTGTCTCCTCCTCCACAGCTGGCTTCTCTATCTCCTGTTTCTTTTCTGGACTAGCAGTCCTAATAAAAGTCAGCAAGATAAAAAGCAAAGGACTTACAAAGGTGAAAAGGTGTTTTCCTTTCAGAAACCTAGTTTAGGATAGTACACAACATGCCAACAATTGGTTGCCATCTCCATTCTGTACCCAGCATTGTGTCATCAGGGTTTTACTTCTTACCACCTGGAAGCAAAGCCTGCAACTCTGTTCCAACTCCATATAGCTTTCCTGTCTTCTCAGAGCTTTCTTAAGTGTGTGTGTGGGGGGGGGGGGGGGGGG